TGGTTCAGGCTCTTCAAAGCCGACGGTGCTGGGCAGGAACAGGAGAGAGGATGAGCTCAGCTCTGCCTGTGGAGGGACATGGAATTAATTCTGTGGTGAATATCCTGAGACATCCCTCCCCACAGCAGCTCATCCTGCTAAAAACAAAGATCTCTGCATTCTTCTTGCATCTAGTTTGCTCAGCACTTCCTCTGGTCTAACTCGAGCATGGGGATTTTCCACTGCCAAAGATTGCTGGATTTGCTGCTTGAGGAGATTACTGGCTTGCGTGGCTCCAGTCGCTGTTTTTTTTTTTTGAAGCTTGTGGGATTAGAATGCAAAACCCCTGTAATTTACCTTGGTAGCCATGAAGCTCTTGGCCCACGTGGCATTAGCTGGGTCGGGAATGGCTTTGTTCTGCCACTGTGGCAGAAGCACGGAGAGGAGCGAGTGGAACCTGCAGGGAGGAGAAATGCAATTAATGGCATGAACAGGGATACCTGCAGCACCCATGTGCTCCTTGGGGTGGGATTAACCCAGGAGCCTGGTGTGATCATGGATCTGCCCCCACCTGGGTGGGGTTAATTCCCAAGGCTTGTACCCCTTCAGTTTGGTTTTGATGGAAGCAGACCTTAAGATCTGGGTTAAAAATTCACAATATCTGTGAACTACCACCATATTTTAATCTCAGTGGGTATTTTTATTATAATTCATGTGCTCTGAAACTTGCATTCCAAACAACCGTCACTGTTTCCCAGGTGTCCTGAGAGGACATGACCATCCCATAGGACAAATGAGAATGGTATTAACTTAAAAGAGGATCAATTTAGATTTGTTATTAGGAAGAAGATGATTACAATGCACTGGCACAGGTTGCCCAGAGGAGCTGTGGCTGCCCCATCCCTGGAAGTGTCCAAGGCCAGGTTGGATGGGCTTGGAGCCACCTGGTTGAGTGGAAGTTGTCTCTGCCCATGGCAGGGGACGGAACTGGATGAGCTTTAAGATCCCTTCCAACCCAAACCAGTCTGGGATTTAATCCCTTCTAATAACTATTCCAGTTTTATTGTAACATAACAAATGGATCCACTCACGCTTTTCTCGCTCGAGGCACAGAACAAACACAGGCTGAGAAGATGAAGAAGCTGCAGGTGAGCACCGGAGTCACCCAGACCCCGGCACCTGAAATACAGAGCACCCTTCATTCAGCTTCATCAAAAAGAATTAAAAAATTTAAATACACTAGTTCAAGTTGGTCAACAAGAAATCATGGCCTGACTGGTGTTTGCACTCACAAAACATACCAGCATGTTTTTTTTCCTTACTGCCCTTGCACTGTCTGCTTAAAATGTAATTGTCCTAAATCCAGATTTTATACCAGCAAGCCTTTTTTTTTAAGGTGCCCTGTTTTCTTTAATTTCCTTTGCTGCTCATTGCCCTGGATTTGTCCTCCAGTCTATGGGAGAAATCTGCCTCCAGAGCGGCCCTGCTCCCACAATGTGGAGAGGGATTTCCCCATCCCTGGAAGTGTCCAAGGCCAGGTTAGAGAGGGCTTGGAGCAAACTGGTCTAGTGGAAGGTGTCCCTGCCCGTGGCAGGGGGTGGGAAGGAATGGACTTTAAGGTCTCTCTCAACCCAGACTGTTCTGTGATTCTATGAATAAATCACCCTACTTCAACTCCAAGAAAACATCTTGGCACAGAACTGGGAGCTTGAAGGCAGAGAAAGAGATGCTACATCTTAAAATTAGCTGAAACTAGAAATATTCAGCATTTGAAGAATATCAAGAGATCTCCTGGAGATCTTTGGTAATTAAAAAGGAGCAAGAAAAGCATTACCAGGACCCTCCTGGCCCCACCCCGGCACAGTGTCATTACTTTCCAGGCGGAGCCGGTCGCTGTTGCCCGGCGGCCCCTCCCCGGCCGCAGTGGACCCTGTCACCCACAGGTCGTAGAGCTCCCCTGGCTGCAGGTCCGGGATGTACAGGGACCTCGGGGACGTCCCATTGGGAATGGCTGTGGGGAAAAGGGGGAGAAGGACATGAAGCACTTGCACCAGCGTTTTGCTGTGTTCAGCTGGAATGAAGTTCTGAATGAAGTCAAGGGAAAATGAGGAAGAAGAAGAGGAAGAAGAGGAGGAGGATGAAGAAGAAGAGGAAAGAGCAAGAAGAAGAGATGGAGGAAGAAGAAGAGGAAGAAGAGGAGGAGGATGAAGAAGAAGAGGAAAGAGCAAGAAGAAGAGATGGAGGAAGAAGAAGAGCAAGAAATGGAGGAAAAAGAAGAAGCAGAAGAAGAAAAAGAGGACAAAAAAGAAGAGGAAGAAGAGAAATAAAACAAGGAAGATGAACAAGAGGAGGAAGAGGAAAAAGAGGAAGAAGAAGAGGAAGAAGATGAGGATGAGGAAGAGGAATAATAAGAGGAGGAAGAGGAAGAAGAAGAGGAAGAAGAAGAAGCAGGAAGAAATTTGATAGTTCCACACTCAAAGGAGCTTGGAATGATCCCACTAGAAACCTTCAGTAATTAAATGGAAGCAGGAGAAGCATTTCCAGCTCCCAGACACCCACCATAGACCTGGGGGTCTCCCTGGCTGTCCTTGGTCTGCAGGTACACGTGGTACCCTGTGATGCACCCCCTCTGCTGGGGAACAGGAATTTCCTCCCATGACACCAAGACGCCGGTGGCCCACGGGATTGTGAACATCTGGGGCCCAGCTGATGGGGCTGCAAGACATAGGACTGGCTTTGAAAGCTGAGCTTAAGGAGCTTGAAAACATCTGGAAGAGCATTACTGTGATTTACCTTGTGCTGTGGAGTATCCCCTGACTGATGCTTCCTGTCCAGCTCCATCCTGGTAGAGAGCAAACACACGGATCTGGTAGCACATGTTATCTTTGATGTGCTCTAGATAAAGGAATTAGAAGTGGATAGTTACTTTTTAAAGTATTTGCACTCCTGGCTGAAGTGTCTGCATCAGCTGCTTAAATCTGAGATGGATCCTCTGATTATTTAGAGGTCTTTCATAAAGAAGGGAAAGAAACCTTCTCTGTGATCTAGGCAGAGCTTTACTGGGCATTAAACTGAAAATTAGTGGCTTCCCACTACTAGGAGGGAAGGATTAGACTGGAGATTAGGGAGAAACTCTCCTGTGAGGGTGGTGAGGCCCTGGCACAGGTTGCCCAGAGAAGCTGTGGCTGCCCCATCCCAGGAAGTCTCCAAGGCCAGGTTGGATGGGGCCTGGAGCAACCTGGTCTAGTGGAAGGTGTCCCTGCCCATGGCAGAGGGTGGAATGAGATGGGCTTTAAGGTTCCTTCCAACCCAAACCAGTCTGGGTTTCTATGGAATATGCTGCTTTTTCCAGCTCATTTGGAGCAAGGATATGAGAGGATAGAGACACAGCACCAGGACAGAAGATAGGGAAGATTAACGAAGGTTCTCACGATCACCCCTGTTGTAACTTCATGGCTATCACTGTGCAGAGCACTGACACGTCGTGCTGCTTGGGGTTAGTAACCAAAATTAGTAGAAAGGAAATAGCATTTTCTTAGGCCTTTGATCTCTGGTACCTCTATCTGGCTTGTTTCATATTGGAGAGATTGGTTTTTCAGAGACATTTTACTTTCAGATACAAAGCTCAGCTGAGAGCAGTTGCAGGGCTCAGCCCAGGGCAGCCACCAGTTGTTTTCTCTCCTATACAAAAAGCTTTAAATGCCATAATTTCTTATGCTGAATTAGTAATAATGATAGAATCACAGACTCTTTGGTTTGGAAGGGACCTTAAAGCTCATGTCATTTCACCCTCTGCCATGGGCAGGGACACCTTCCACTATCCCAGGTTGCTCCAAGCCCCGTCCAACCTGGTCTTGGAGGCAAAATTCCCATCTGACTTGTTCCTTAAAATATTTCCAAAATAAACTGGTACTTTGGTTGTATCCAACCTTAGGGTATATTTACCTGCTATCACTGTGGACAGGTTGGATGCGGGAAGCTTTGCCCAGGTGTGATGGGGCTCCAGGTGTGGGTTCCTCCCTGTCTCTGCCCACTCCACCACGTACCCACTGACAGGCACAGCGGATCTGAGGGGTGGTTTCCAGCTGACCAGGATGCTGCTGTTCCCCATGGCCATGGCAGAGACTTGCTGAGGAGGTGGTAGATCTTAAACACCAAACAAAAAGACACTGTCAGCACAAACTTGCTGTAACCTCAAGTGGAACCATTAAGTTTGAAATATGTGTTTTATTGTGTCTTATCCAGTCTGGCACCATGTGGAGGATAAAAATAAACTATAATTGAAAGAAAAGGTCATTATGGGAGAGTAAGGTTTATGCTGATAGGAACAGTCACATTCTTTTCTTGTCTCATGGTTTAGCAGATTGGATTGAACACCCACAGTACTGCTTGGTTGTGCCATCCCCGAACCCTGAGAAGATGATGTCACAGCACATCCCCAAATCCCACTGCTATGTTGGAGCCATAAGGCAGGATGTGGAGCTGCTGGAGCAAGTCCAGAGGAAGCCACAGAGATGCTCTTAGTGCTGGAGCCCCTCTGCTCTGGAGCCAGGCTGGGAGAGCTGGGAGTGTTTGTCTAGATAAGAGAAGGCTCCAGGGAGACCTTAGGGCAAACTGGATCTGCAGATGCCCGAAGATCCATTGAGGTGGACCTTGATGGGCACGAGGTGGTGCGACCAGAACAGATACACAGTGTGTGGCACAACGCAGAGCACTGGTGTTTTTCCCAGTGATCCAGACTCAGCAGAAGCCTTACCCTGGATGCCCAGGTTGGTCAGGATGGATGCAGGGGGGGACCTGCCCCGAGAGTTCTGAGCAGTGACTGTGATCCTGTAGTCCACCCTTGGTGTGACTTTGGAGTAGCTGGTGTGGGTGGTTTGGTGGGATTCTGTGGGGGGGTTCTGATGGTTCAGGGCTTCAAAGGTCACTCTGTACCCCAGGATTCTTCCTCCTGCCTCCGACTTGCTCAGAGCCTGTGAGGAAAGTGCATTTGTTACTGTCTTCTTCTGGAAAAAATATTGTCAGCTGAGAAAGCTGGAGAGGGGCTTTGGATAAGAACCTAGAGGGACAGGACAGTGCTTCCCACTGCCAGAGGGCAGGGATAGATGGGATTATTGGAAGGAATTCTTCCCAGTGAGGGTGGTGAGGGGCTGGGATCGAATTCCCAGAGAAGATGTGGCTGCCCCATCCCTGGAAGTGTTCAAGGCCAGGTGGACGAGGCTTGGAGCAATGTGGTCTAGTGGAAGGTGTCCCTGTCCATGGCAGGGGTGGGACTGGGTGATCTTTAAGCTTCCTCTCAACCCAAACCATCCCATGATTAATTTTTCCCGTTTAATTCCAGTTTAGTGAAACACTTTTGCTGTGAGCTGCTGATTCTCCCAGCAGCAGCAGAGCTGGAGACAGTGAAACACTCATCCATCTCCTGTCCTGAGGCTGAATTCAAGCCAAGCTTTTCCCAAGAGTTGAAAAAAAAGAGTATTAACTGCATCTGGGTTTTTTTAAATGAGTGATTTTTGATTTAGGGGAAAAATATGGATTTTACTTAAAGCCATAATAAAAAACTATTTAAATTGAACCACTTAGAACACATCTCTGGCAGTCTGTGCTATCCCATTAACACCTCACCCTGGTTTTTCCTCCCCTCTGGGTATCTGCAGTTGTACTCTCCGTTTCACAGTTTCCTGATGTTTCTATAATGTGAATTCATTTGTTTGGCTGATTTTTTGTCATAACAAAACAAAGCACTTTCAAAAATAGGAAAAGGTAGTGTTACAGGTGCTTTGGCAGTGGCTCAGGACAGACACAGCACTGGAACCACTCTGAGGAACTGCTGAAATCAAATTTGCAGCCTTTTTTGGGTATTTGTCTGAAAATAGGAGCACATTTCTTGGTAGGATGTTGTACTTTCAGCCTTTTGCTTTGTAGCATTTGTGAAAACTATAGAGGCAGTTCATTGCCCCATTTTATGAATGATGCTGCAGGAAGTCAGTTCTGATAAAGAAAGTGCTGCAAGATAAAGGTCTTAAAGCCACAACGTCTGGGGTCACAGAATCACATGAGAGTTTCTGCTTTCACTTTTAGCCTGGTGCTTGTTGGTGTGTGGGGGGAAGATACCCCAGCTTTTTTTCACTCTTTGTCCAGCTTCAGATCTGCAGCTTTGGTATTAGAAATGCTTGTTTGTGTGGTTCTACACCTGTGGAGAAACCCCCTCTTCCTGTTGTACAACAACATCTTCGACCCCATCCCTCCACACAGCAGTGACCCCACAGGACCCCTTTCACTGCCCAAACTATATCCAGCTCTTAGATTTTGGGGAGTTCAGTCATTTTAAGGGGATGTTATAAAAAATCGCCCTTTCAGCCTCCTCCATTTTTCATTGCTCTGCTCTTCTTTTAGGGACATGGGACAGTGGTGGCCTGGGCAGTGGTGGAGGGGCAGTTGGATTCAATGGTCTGAGAGGGCTTTTCCGTCTAAATGATTCTGTGATTCATATAAGCAAAGCAGAGCTGAAATAGCTCTGAAGGCAGCAGACCCCCAAGGTGAGTCTATATGGAGAACATGAGCCGTGGTGTCCACCTGTCCCCCCCGAGCTCCTGTCCTGACCACATATGGCAACCATGGGAAACAACAACAAGGTGGGGAATGAGGAGAGGGAGATATTCATTAGAAAACAAATTAGGAAGTCTATAAGGTTATTGTCTGTCCATTATTCATCTGGAGAAGAGAAGGCTCCAGGGACAACCTAGAGCCCCTTCCAGTGCCCAAAGGGGGAGCCTAAAGAGAGCTGGAGAGGGACTTTGGACCAGGGCCTGCAGGGACAGGACAAGGGGGAGTGGCTTCCCACTGCCAGAGGGCAGGGTTAGGTGGGATATTGGAAAGAAATTCTTCCCTGTGAGGGTGGTGAGGCCCTGGCACAGGTTACCCAGAGAAGCTGTGGCTGCTCCATCTCTGGAAGTGTTCAAGGCCAGGTTGGACGGGGCTTGGAGCAACCTGTTCTAGTGGAAGGTGTCCCTGTCCATGGCAAGGGGTTTGGAACGAGATGGTTGGATGTCCGAGATCCTGTTCAATCCAAATCGTCCTGCCATTCTAAGAAACTGTAGGTAGAAAAGTGTTGCTGAATCTCCTTCCAGGGGAGGTGAGCCTTGGTCTGTGGCCCTGGCGCTGGCCTTGTGCTCTCAAAGGGTTCAGTCCTTTCCCAAAACCACATAAACTGGTTTCCCCTCTAACCTTGTTGGTTATTGCTGCCTCTGCTTAGGTTTCACTTACCTTCCAAAAGAGTGAGATGTTCTGCTGCTGAGAGCCTGGGTCCTGCTGCTGCCGGTACCAGACATCCGGGATCCCGGTCGGCTCTGGGGTGGAAGGAAAAGGTGAGCAGCATGAGTGGCCGTGGTTTGAAGTAAACAAACAAGAAAACGAGTAAGTAAAGGGGGTAAAAACCCTGAGAAAATGAAAATTTCAGTTTTAAAATGTCCCTGAAATGATGCAATATATGATAGTCCATGTTTGCTCTTGAGTTCAGTTCATTGAGGATGGGGATCATGAGGAAAACAAGTCATAAACCAGGGAGGGAGTTTTGCTCTTCTGATGACTTTATTCTGCCCTTGATAACTAGAATGGCTCCTAAGGAAACCCACACATCAAATGGACAGTGTTATCTCTTGTCTTTGCACAAATCTGAGGCTTATTAAGGTCCTTGGGGTTGGCTAAATCAATCCTAGAACAACAGGATGATGGGGTTTGTGGGATCTGTAGGATTTTGCTGTTTGGCTCTAGGCAATAATTGTCTTTAACTGCTGAGTAGGACCTTGTTGGAGGTACCTTAAATCCCCCATTCTTTCCACAATTTTCAGTCACAGACTGGCTGGAAACTCATGATATTCTGAATAAACCTCACAAAATAACACAAAAGCTAAGTTCTGGCTGGTGAACAAGCTCCAGAAATTCAGAACCAGAGATACAGGTGTCAAGAAAGCTGATGTGACAGAGCTTGGTTCCTCAGGGTCCCTGACCAACATAGACTCATCAAATTCAAATATTAATTGCTGCTAACAGTCAGAGCAGGAGGCAGCTGATGGAGAACCCAGCAAGGACAGGGCTGCCTGCTCTTTGCTGTATTCAAAGACACAAAACCCCTCCATGTCAGTGATGTTTGGAGCAGTTTGTCCTGTATTAACTGCAAATAGTGACTAGAACAGAAACAAGAAGCAGGAGCAACAGCAGAAATAAAACCAGAGCTCACCGGCTGTGAGTGAGGGAGGAAGGGGTGAGCTCCCTCAGAAGGGAGCAGAAAAAGTAGGATATGGGATTGCATCTGCTGGCCTCCAGACTGGATCTGAAAGTTCATGAACCACGTGAATTGGCTGGAAAGAAAAAGATATGCTCACTAATGAACAGGGCTTGCATAAGGCAGCTTTTGTGGCAGGTCACGCTAAAAGGAACAGGAAAAGGAATATCCCGTTGAAAAGGTGTAATTCTGGATTTGCAACAAGTCAGTTCACGCATAAAACTTCAGTTCCTTCAACAAAGAGTAAACATGATGTACCAGAGCTTCTAGTCTGCAACCTCCCCTTGCAGTCACCTCATCTGGTGACACAAAGTGTTCCTTGATCAGCTAAAAACATTCTCATTCTCATTGTGCAGCAGGGCTGGGGAGAGGGGTGATGACCACAAACGTCAGGGTGCAACAAGAAGTGGAGAAAACTGTTGAGAGGAAGGTGGGGGAGGGAAGGAAAAGTTCACATCTCCTTCATCAATCAATGCTTCTTACAGAAACTGGTGCTCTTACAGTGGTAAATGGGATGAGTAAGAACAGCCCAAGCCTGGAGGGTTTGTACTAATTCACAAAAAAGAGCAACCAAAGCCAAGTAGGAGATCAGAGAATCACAGAATCGTTTGGCCTGGAAAAGACCTTAAAAATCATTTTATTCCAACCCCTTTATCCTTCAGCTCTTCTCAGTGAACTCTTGAAATTCTTGTTTTGCAAGAAACTCAAACAGCTTCATCTTTGTTCATTAAAAAAGCAATTCTCTTACAGGAGCTACTTCTCTCTTGGCTCCGGGTCTGGATCCACAGTCTCCACAAAGGAACCAGCAGCAGTTTGACTTCATTAGCTGAAGTTACCCATTGAATGCAACTGTTAGGCACAGGTTTAGTGCAGGTTTAGTGTTGGTTTGTGTTACCTGCTTCTGGAGTCCGGGTTAGGTTCATTTTCCAGTCGCTCCACAGCCCTCGCTCAGGGTGAATTTTACAGCTGACCTGGAACTCATAGGCTGTGTCAGGCTCCAGCCCATGAAGGTGGTATTGTTCACTGTTGAAGATTTCAACCTTTGATGGAGATAAAGAACATGTAATATTAAACTCACGAGGAGACAAAGGTTGAAGGCGGTGGCAGCTGAATCACAAATGCCTGTGTGAAGCTTTAAAAAACAACAGGGAAACCCTGATTTGAGGTGGCTTTAATAACTCAAAGACTGATGCAATGAATCATCAGGTTCACAGGGCTTCATCTGAAAAACTCCTCATTTAATATGTGACAATAGCAAAATCTCTATTTGTGTGATTTGACTCAACTTCCAGCAATAGGTTTCTTTTGCCACTTAAAATAAGAGCAAAGACTTTGTAGAATCACAGAATCACAGACTGGTTTGGGTTGAGAGGGAGCTTAAAGCCCAGTTCCACCCCCTGCCATGGGCAGGGACACCTTCCACTATTCCAGGTTGCTCCAAGTCCTGTCCAACCTGGCCTTGAACACTTCCAGGGATGGGGCAGCCACACCTTCTCTGGGCAACCTGTGCCAGGGCCTCACCATCCTCACAAGGAAGAATTCCTTCCCAATATCCCACCTAACCCTGCCCTCTGGCAGTGGGAAGCCATTCCCCCTTGTCCTGTCCCTGAAGGCCCTGGTCCACAGTCCCTCTCCAGCTCTCTTTAGGCTCCCCCTTTAGGCACTGGAAGGTGCTCTAAGATCTCTCCCTAAGGCCTTCTCTTCTCTAGCAAGTTCATAACTTCCTTTATCCCAAAGATGATTACCATGCTCCAGGAGTGCCTGGTGAGGGGACGATATCTCAGCCTGCAGTGCTGTGCTTGTGCTTCATTGTGCCAAAAAAGAGTGCAGCTGGTCGCAGAAGAACTGTCAAATTCCACTAAAAAGTCAGGAGGATGTGGCTTCACTGGCAGCAAAACAGAAAGAAGCAGAGGGTGCTCAGAAACACGACATGACTTGGAATGGGGTTGGATGGAAAACAGAGTTATTAGTTTAGGCTGGATGGATGATTTTCCCAAGAGGTTTAAAAAAGAAAGTGCTCAGAACATCTCAGGTGTTCCCAAAGGACTAGGGCTGACTGAGAGGTGGAAAGTCCTGCTTTACCTATGTCTATTAACGTGAAGGAGAGTGGCTGTGAAGAAGCACTTCCCAACTTATTGGAGGCAGAAACCACAACGGTGTAATTGGAGTCAAAATTCAACTTTCTCAGAGCCAGCAAGCCAAATGTCTCATTCAGACTTTCTTCTGAAAAGCACAAGTCATGTGTCCCATTTGAGAGCCTGAAAGAGAAGGAAGATGTTTGGTTATTGCTCTTCTGTAGACCTGGGTGTGTGGGGACATGGATCCCATTCCAAAGGGGTGTCTTGGCATTCCCTCTTTACCTTCTGAACCCAGCTGGGGCCAACCTGCTGTGGTGCATGACCAGAAAAGGGGTTTGAACTGCTCCAAGATGTAATTAGAGGTGTTGAAGCACCCACATCCCCACATTACTCACTGTATCACATACGTAGTGTCAAGGTATGTGAGCCTTCCCTTATCCCAGGTGCAGACGGGGTGGCTGTCTGTTCCAGTCTGGATACATGACACATTTCCTGGCTCATCTGGAGGATCTTAAACAGATATTTCTTAGCATCTTAGATCTTAAACAGATATAGTCTTAGCATCACAGACTGGTTTGGGTTGGACCTCTAAAAGGCATTCAGTCCAACCCCCTGCCATGGGCAGGGACATCTTCACCCAGCCCAGGTTGCTCAGAGCTCCATCCAGCCTGGCTTTCAATGTTTCTTCCTTAAAGATGTTAGAAGATATTTTAGGAAATGCTTGGGAGAGAGGATATTATTTGCTCTGAGCGGGCAGTTTGATTTAGCACCTCTCCCTTCAGGAATAACAGAGTTGCACAGTTCTAGCCAGGGATATTTTAAATACAAAGAGCCCCTCTAAGACAACACCTCTCCTGGACAAGGGCACCCACTGCCAGTCTCTACCGTGTGGCTCAGAGGTGCCACAGGAAAGGTTTGAGAACCAGGAATAATTAATAATCAATGCTGCTTACTTCCACACTTGATATCAATTCCACAAATGAGTTTTTTCCTTCCTTCACAAATCGTTTTGCATGTAAAGGTGTGTCTGCCATAGGTATTGACTGGAAATGTTTTGCTTACTGAACGGCCAGAATTTTTAACTTGTTCAGAGTTGTTAAGGAAAATCCCTATCCTGCACTTAGGTGTCTGCAAGTCTCCCAGGTAGCAGGACAGGGTGATGTTGGTCCCAGGCTGGATGGCACTGGCAGTGTTGGCCGTCATTCTCCCTTTGTCACAGATTTCCTCAGTGCCACGGGGAGCTTTGCTGGAAGTCATGATCCCTTTCCTGCAGGCTTCTGCAACAGAATCAGAGAACAAAAGTTTCACAGGAATCCATCCCTTATCTTCCACAACATATTTTGCTCGGGGAAGAGTTTCCCCAAATGTCTTATCCAAGAATTTCTGCGTCTGCATGGTAATCTGTGGGATGTTGCTGTGCCCAGTCTGATTAACTGGGGTCAGCAACCATGGGATCACAATCAGTCACCAACGAACCAGCATGACACCAGGGAAAATCTACCAGAACTCTTGTTTCATTTTGGGTTAAGAATGTGTCTGTGTGTCAGGAAAGTTGTGGCAGGCAGCACAGGAAGGATGTGAAGCTGCTGGAGCAAGTCGAGAGGGGCCATGGAGATGCTCCAAGGACTGGAGCACCTCTGTCCTCGAGACAGGCTGGGAGAGCTGGGGGTGTTCACCTGGAGAAGAGAAGGCTCCAGGGACAACCTAGAGCCCCTTCCAGTGCCTAAAGGGGGAGCCTAAAGAGAGCTGGAGAGGGACTTTGGACCAGGGCCTCCAGGGACAGGACAAGGGGAAATGGCTTCCCACTGCCAGAGGGCAGGGTTAGGTGGGATATTGGGAAGGAATTGCTGGCTGTGGGGGTGGTGAGGCCCTGGCACAGGTTGCCCAGAGAAGGTGTGGCTGCTCTATCCCTGGAAGTGTCCAAGGCCAGGTTGGACGGGGCTTGGAGCAACCTGGGATAGTGGAAGGTGACCCTGCCCACGGCAGGGGTGGAACTGGATGATGTTTAAAGTCCCTTCCATCCCAAACCATTCCATGGTTCTGTGAAAGTACTTGGAGCACCATTTTTCCCTGTTCATGAGCTCTGCCAGTCTCAGTGGAGCTCACTGTGGAGCCGTTTTCTCATGTAACCAACAGTTCTACCTTGAAATAAATTTTATAACCTCCCTGCATAGCTAATTAGCAACTCTTTGCTCTCCAATAAGGAAGATGTTCACTAGCACTCCACGCAGAAGCTGAAAAAACCCACCCTACTTAGCCTGGGTGCTTCTTTTAAAGTGAGCATTTATCTGAAGGGAAAAAATGTATCTTACCTGCTGTGAAGTGCATCACCAGCCAAATTGCTGAGGGCACGATCCATGCAAATGGCATTTTGCTGCCTATAGAGAAATGAATTCCCGTTACCAGTTCTTAAAGAGCAGGGATATAATTTACAGATCTTCATGTTTTATTACTTTACAACTTCAGAAAATCTGAAATGCTCATTTCAGGAGACCTTTCTAATGGACACAATGCAGGAAGTTCTGAACACAAATGTTTTACACAAATTATTCAAGCTCAACCTGAACTGAGCTCAGTATTTTCAAATACTTTCTACAACAAGCATTAACAAATATTCCCTTTTTTATCCTTCACCTGCAGAACTATAGGAGCAGTGGGAATACATTGGATACCTCAGAAGTGAATTCACCAACAAGCACTTTCTGTAACCTGTAATGATTTGATGCCATAACAGAAACAAACTGCTTGAAAGTAGTATTTTCCCAGTACTACTACTTTAAATCTTGGCTGATTTTCATGCCAGGGTCATTTCCATGCACAGTATAGTCTTTGCCATGCGAATATTAATATAAAAACAACAAAAATTGTTATTTCAGGTTGTTTTTAGATAATGAAATAGATGGTTTTTAAATGATCCAATACTCAAATTGAATGTAAAATACATAAGATTTGCCAAAATGCATATTGTGGCAATAAGCCAGGTTTTATAAATAATGTTTTTAAACTAAATCCAGATGTTCCTCAGGCTTGCTGCAGTGCCTCAGCTTCCCCAAAGCCTCTTCATGTGGTGCCTTCTGTAGATGATTAGTAACTGCCAGGATGAGCAAACACAGCACCCCAAGGTTCTTCAAGTAAATGCTCTGCCTTCCAATAAACTGAAATTCCCTGGTGACTGTGTAAACACCCTTCAGACAGCTTCTTCTGACAGCAAAACTACCCAAAATATTTGAGTCAACAGGCAAGAACAGTCTGGCTTCAAATAATTTAATCAGTGGTTTGGTTGGGGAAGTGTGAGATGTAAACCATGATTGAGTAAATGATGAGAAAAGAATTAGAAACAACCTTAAGCTCAGGATAGAGATATATGGGGAAAAAAATAAGAGGAAAAAACCCATATTCCACAGCAATGAGAAAAATTGCTATTGCTACACATAGAGTACAGAAATACAAAGGACGTTGTCATGGAGTAAAGGTGGAGGAAGTACATGAGAAGTCTGTGGGGGTCAAGGTGGTGCCTCTTTGTGCTCTTATCTTCGAGATCTCAGCTGAAAGCACCAGGGCCACACAATCTGTGACCCCGTGGATGTGCCACAGTGACACAGGCTGTAACTACAGCCCTTGAGCTCTGAAATGAAACCAGTTGTGAAGCACAACAGCTTGTGAGCTGGCCTTGAACCAACTTTTTATGCCCTTGTCCCCACCTCTCCCTAAAAAACCTCCATGCAAAGCTCATTGTGTGTTCTAAGAACTCACAGGAACAACCAGTGGAAACAGGAACATTTTGTGGTGTTGTATTTCACCCAGAAAAAACCCACTATTTGTGCCCCAGCTATTACTGACAACTAACACTGGCTGCGTTTTAAGGAAGCTTCCCCCCCTCTGGCTGTCCTGGCTTCCCAGGCCCTTTGAGGACAGTGGCACCCGGGTCATCCCACAGCCTTGGGAACATCCCGCCTAGGGCCGGTGGCTCTTCCCAAAGCTACCGAGAGTGGGGGATTTAATCAGACCTCTTGGGATGAAGGAAAGGGACAGAGTTACTCCTAGAGGATGGGCTCTGCGCTCCTTAGGCAGCTCTATCCTAGAGTGCAGGAGGTATCCCGGGATAGTGAGCATTCCAGGGCAGGCGGTGTGCCCAGGTGGGCAGCATCCCCAGGTAGGAGCATCCCTGGACAGCAGCATCCCGGGATAACGATCATTCGAGGGCAGCAGCATCCTGAGGCAGGGAATCATCCCGGTGCAGCAGCATCCCCGCGAGAAAGAGCAAAGCGCAGCGGCACCACAGAGCAGTGAACATCCCAGGGAAGCAGCATCCCGTGGCAGGAGCATCCCGGGGCAGGGAGTATCACCGGGAAAGTGAGCGTCCCAGCACAACGCCATCCTGGCGCAGCAGCGTCCCGGGGCAGGAATATCCCAGGGCAGCAGCATCCCAGGGCAGCGAACATGCCAGGGCAGCAGAATCCTAGGGCAGGGAGTATCCCAGTGCAACAGCATCCCCGGGAAACCGAGCATCCCAGCGCAGCAGCATCAGTGAACATCCCGCGGCAGGGAGTATCCCGAGGCAGGGAGCATCCCGAGGCAGCAGCACCCTGCAGCAACAGCATCTCGGGGCAGTGAGTATCCCGAGGCAGGGAGTATCCCGGGGCAGCAGCATCCCGAGGCAGCAGCATCCCGGGGCATCCATTCGCGGGATGTCACCTTTCCCAGCGCGCCGCTATACTGCTGCCCGAAGCGGGATACCGCTCCTCAGGAGTGAAAATCCGCGCGAGGGGGATCCCTACCCTCGGTACCCTCGGGGATGCCCGTCCTACAGCCCCCCCGCCCCTCGAGCGGGGGTTACTCACCCCCAGCCCCGCGGCCGCTCCGGGCGCGGCGGATCCCGCGTGTGCGCCGAGGGCATGGAACGGTCCGACCCGCCCCTGCCCGGGGATCCGGGAACGGGACAGGAGGGGAAAGGCGGGGGGAAAAGGGGGAGGCGAGGCAAGGCAAGGCAAGGCAAGGTAAGGCAAGGCAAGGCAAGAGCTTGATAGGAGCAAGGGGCTTGTCCAGAGATGCACCCACACTGATTTTTATGTTCTCTTTAACAGGATTTTTGCTTTCTCTCATTTTTCTCAGCACTCCCACAACCTGCCACTACATTTAAGAGAGCTTTCAATGAGTGAGTATCTTATTGCTATTGTTCCTTCTCTTTTAACATCAACTCGGTTTTCCTCACTGATTACAATCACATTTTCCTACCTGGAACCACAGCATAGGTATTTCAGGGGCAGCTGTTGAAATGAAGGGGCAGAGGGAGAACAACATTTGCAGCTTCCAAGTGTCTCAAACTTTGCCTTTGAGCCTCCATCTGCTTCTCCTCCTCCCAAAGCCTGGAGCAACATTTGTGCTCCTTTCCAGAGCTGCCATTATATCATTAACATGCCAAGAGTGAGCTGGGTGAGCCAGAACCCCACAAAATCCCAAATATCAACAGCTTCTTTTACCTCTTCTTTCTCCTCTGTCTTCATCAGCTCATGTTACACTTTGCCTTTTCACAGAGCCCTTCCCAGCACAGCTCCAGCTCCACGTGACCAGACCAGGATTCAGCTGATTTTAAACCGGGACACCATTAGGAGTTATATGGAATCTAATCCGTGTTTCTTGGTGAGGTCCCGTGTGTTGATTTCTCCATCACTGTTCACACCCTGAACTCAGCTGGGAGCAGTGGAGTGGGGCTGTGTCACTCATCCAGGATATATTTAAGGGAAGATGCTGAGCAGATGGCCCAGGTGAGTGTTGTGTTTTAGTGAGAGGCAGCTAAACCGAAAATCCCCAGTCCATTACCTTCTATAAAATGCAGTTGCTTCCTTTTTTATTTCTTTCTTCTATTTTTTCTCATTTTATTTTTCTTTTCTTTTTGCTTTCTGATTTTGTTTTACCTTTTTTCCTTTCTTTTGTATTTAATCCTTTTAAATTTTCTTTTGTAATTCACCTTTTTCCCTTTATTTTATATTTTATATTTTTTCCTTTTCCCTTTCTCTTCTTTTTCTCTTTCCTCTTTTCTTCTTTTTTATTTGTTGTCTTTATCTTTTTTATTTTTTCCTTTTTCTTTCTTATTTTTCCTTCTTCCTTTTTTTTTGCTCTCTCCTTTTCCATTTTTCCCTTTCCTTTTTTCCTTTTCCCTTTCTCTTATTTTTTAGCACCAAATTCTGCTTCTTCCTACAATTCTTTCTTCATTGACTTCTGCTGAACATGTGGTACTCACATACCATGAAGAAATCCATGAGTTCCCTGCAGTTGGTGTCTCCCCACAGCCAAAGAGAACCAGGGTCCAAGGTCCTGCTGCCAGTGGAGCTGCCGGTGCCCTGAGGATGCTGTGCCACCCTCCCTGGTGCCCCTGGCATGGGGTGATGTCAAGGAAAGTACAGAGTAATCCGTTCTCTAGGGGGAGGGGGTGTCTGTGAGTCTGAAAGCGGAGCTGGGGAAAGCACCCTGACAGAAGAACGTGTGATATTTGGTGCTGTCGGGTGGTGGTAGTGGCCCAGGGTGTGAGGCACAGAGGCTGCACATGGGGGGGACAAAGCAAGAGGACACTGGTGGTTGCAGTGTCACCTCACAGAGCTCAGGGGAAGCCGTGCTGGCTGAGCTCCCCAGCACCAGCCCTGCTGGTCTGTAGTGACCGTGAACTTGTATGTGAATTGAGCAGACACCAAGAGACATGTAAATGCAAGAGCTGAGAGGGCTTGTTGAGAGTTACAGAATCACAGACTTGCTTGGGTGGAAGGGACGTTAAAGCCCATCCAGTCCCACCCCCTGCCATGGGCAGAGACACCTTCCACTATTCCAGGTTGCTCCAAGCCCTGTCCAACCTGGCCTTGGACACTTCCAGGGATAGAGCAGCCACAGCTTTTCTGGGTAACCTGTGCCAGGGCCTCACCACCCTCACAGTCAAAAACTCCTTCTCAATATCCCATCTAATCATGCCCTCTGGCAGTGGGAAGCCATTCCCCTTGTACTGTCCCTGCAGGCCCTTGTCCAAAGTCTCTCTCCAGCTCTCTTTAGGCTCCCCCTTTAGGCACTGGAAGGGGCTCTAGGTTGTCCCTGGAGCCTTCTCTTCTCCAGGTGAACACCCCCAGCTCTCCCAGCCTGTCTCGAGGGCAGAGGTGCTCCAGTCCTTGGAGCATCTCCGTATCCTCCTCTGGACTCACTCCAACAGGTCTACAGCTTCCTTCTCATGTTAACGACTTTGAGCTGCTCAGATATTTGGTTCCTTGGAGCCTGGACAGGGGAGTTGTGGCACCCAGCCCCCAGCAGTGTTGAAGTTACAGCTGCAGCAGCAGAATGAGCAATAACTCAGTGCAGGGGTGTCTGTTTTCAGTACTGCAGGTCCCCTCTGCTCTGGCTCTGTTAGTTTTCCATCTGCTCTGTGTGCCAGTGACTCTCATTGAATTGGCCTTCATCCAGCAGGATGAAATGAGTCACTCAGTCTGGTAAAGGTAATTGTTCTGTCTCCTCTTGCACATATGAAAGCCAAGGAAGGCTTGATCCACAGGGAGAGTGTGGAAATCACACGGTCTAGGAAATCATACAGACGATGCACAAGATACATCAACACCTGGGTCCTTTTGAGGTTAAGAATACTGAGTTTTTCTAATATTTTTGTGGCAAGATTAATTCCTCTCTGTTCAGGAAAGGCTTGGTTGGGTTGGTAAGCAGCAATCATGAAATCCTCTGTACTAGATCACCTTTGTAGCTTGTTTTATTTTTGCTGTTTTCAAGTTTCCTTTGCTCCTGAATCCAAGCCTTGCTCCAATGGCTTTGCAAGTGCCATTCTCATGGGATTTTCCCTGTGAAGGTGGCATTCAGTGGAGCCCAATGAGACCCAAACCACAGCCTCACCTCTCACATCCTCTTCTCTGAAACGCCAGTTTGGTTTCAGTCTCTGCCGCTGTGCTCAGCCCTCCCACCCTGAGCACAACTCCTCATCCTCCCTCCATAACAACTAATCCCCCAAAGCTCAGGGTGGAAGAGGCTACACCAAATAGCATAATTTTTAATGGATATTCCCACTTTTGTTGTCAGGTCATTCCACCTGCGACCGTTTTCCCCTTGCCACGTTTCCAGAAGGCTTTTGCTGATCCAGGCACTTCTTTGCAGCTTTGCACGAGCCTTGGTCACAATCTGGGCTTTGATCTTTGGTCTGTGCACTCAGAAATCCCCGGAGGTCGACGGGTGTTACTTAGCTCTGTGAAATGCTCAAGTTTGTAATCCAATTTTAGCCTCTGCAGCATCTTTATCTGCCACTGAATCTCTCCCACAGTTTACTGACAGCCAAGCCCTTGCAAACCTTCCAGCCTGGGGTGGGTTTATAAATGCGACAGAATAAAATCAAGCAGCACAATATTACTCAGAGGATGTTTCTATGATCTTCTTGTCCCGTTCCTGTTACCAAAGGGTTTAAGGTGCTTTTGACCTCAGATCCTGAGGCTTTACCAGTGGTAGTTGTTACTATCCAGACTCTGTGGATAAGAAATGAAGGCAAAGCACTTGGTGAAGGTCACACAGTGAGTTGGTGACTAAGCTGTGACTAAACCCAGCTCTCTTGTGCTTCAAACCTCAAACCAGAATGAATTTCATGTCCTCCTGCATGATAACAGGGGCAGAGAAGAGGCATAAATGATATAACATTGTAGCTATTGATGTACATTTGATGCATAATTTATTACATCAAATTTATTTATTATTTCTGCATTCTGCATTTGGTTTAATTAATCTCCAACTCTACTCTTTGAAGAAGGGTGGTAAACAAGTCCCTCAGGGAGTGGTGCTGGTAACTTCTATCGCCTCAAGGTCACACTTGATACACCTAGTAGATACACCCTGCTCTGTGGAGGGGATGGAGATAAGAGCAGGAGTGGATGACTCTGCTGTTCTCCAAACCCACTGAAGCTTTGAACACCCAATTTCTTATTTCTTTTTCATCTGTTCTCTCCTTCTATTTCTATAAAAATATCTGTTTTAGGGAGGTTGTGTTAGAACTCTGGGTAGCGATGGGACACCGTGTTGTAATGCATCTCCGTGGGTTGTGAGCTGTTCTGCTTTGGTAGTTATTACAGCACGCGTAGGTGTAAGTAAAGTGTAAGAACACTGCTCCATGTTACTCATTCAGAACAAAGGATGTCTCATCATTAAGTATTGACACACAGATGTCACTCGCAGGGGATCACGGACAGATGAGTTTGCAATCAGTGAGTTACGCGAGTGATTGTTTTTGGTGCTCCCTCTCTGTGGGCAGAGACATTACTCAGTGTACCCTTCCTTTAAGTGCCTCCAAGGTACATAACCCCAGGTTGTGATGGCACTGAACAACCCATTCATTCCTGAGCTGATAAATGACCGGTGGAAATCGCTGGCACAAGATCCAACTGCCAACAGTAAAACCAAATGTTAGAAAATACCCATAGCAAGGATTAGGGAGTACGTAATATTTGAGGAAGGGAGGAGGGAACCTGAGATGTTAAAATAAACCTACTGAGAGTGACATCATGATTTGGTTCATGGGATGCCCTATCCCTGGAAGTGTCCAAGGCCAGGTTTGACAGGGCTTGGAACAACCTGGCCCAGTGTTTTGAATCACAGAATCCCAGAATGGTTTGGGTTGGAAGAAACCTTAAAGATCATTCAGTTCCACCGCTGCCATGGGCAGGGACACCTTCCACTAGAACAGGTTGCTCCAAACCCTGTCCAACTTGGCCTTGGACACTTTCAGGGACGGGGCAGCCAAAGCTTCTCTGGACAGCCTGTGCCAGGGCTTCATCGTATCGATATATATATGGTGAAGCACTATGTAAATATATATTTGTGCCTCTCTCTTTCGATTTCCTCCAGTAACCAGCCCAAATTTACCAGATGCACCCCAACACCCATGAAAAGGAGAAATATTTCCTTCAGCACCTAAGAAATCAGTGGGAGCATTGGCACTGTTGAGGCAAATATCCATGGCATGATCTGGGCAATGTTTCATCCCTGTGCTCCCCTGGCCGTGGATATATTTGCAGGGATCCATCCTGGAGCGAGTTATTAGGGCTGGAAATTCAACCAGCAAGAGCCTGAAAGGTAAGACCAAGCTTTCAGCCTTGTTTGCTGACAAGAGAAGCATTTTGCCCTGTGAGCTTTGGTAGTTCAGGTGACAGAGTTCAGCACAAATTTCAGGATGTGGACATTGAAAAAAATACCTTCCCCATCTCGCACTGATAGTATGTGGCTGTTCTTCTACAATTTCCTTCCTGCTCAGGCAGCAATCACTAATTTTAGACTCACCTACATGAAACAGTCACATTTCTGCCTTGGAAACAGTTTGCTGCTTCTGAAGAATAATCCTACCCCACTTAGCCAGGTATCTACTACTCCAGAAATATCAGTGACAGATCTCTTGGGGTGTTAGAAGGAAACAAGCACAGCCCACAATGATGTTGGTTTGGAAGTATCCAGGATAAACAACAAAACTGATCCATTTGTGCAACAGCTGATAGAGAAATGCATCCAGTGCCTAGGAAAAAATGAAAGGAATATGCTTTGGGAATGTTTTGTAAGTCCCAGGG